AATTCTCCATGAGTTAATGATTTCCAGAGCCTTCCACGCGTTACGGTACAATTTCGAACATTTATTACTCCGCTTCTGGCACGATAAATAGTCGATAACGAAGGAAACTCGAAGAACGAGGAAAGTTAGGCGGAGTAAGTAGTAGGAGTCGATATTGGTCAGACGGGGGGAAAGCGCTGACAAAGACGTCAAACAAAGAAGCCCGGGGATTCGGAGGAAAGCCGTATAAACATTTGTGGATCGAGACACGCTTTCTCCCTTACCTTATATCGCGATTTCAGCACGACCCCCATGAATAATCTTCCCCCGTATCATCGGCGGCGCAGTTTTCCTCGCGCGTTCTCCTGATCGCAGATACCAAGTTTTCCGTGCAGACGTACCCCCTCCTGGACTTCATCTTCCGTTTGTTATCCCCTCGTTGCACGATTCGAGTTAATTACCGGTGTCTTCGGCGAAAATGATAAGGCCGTCGAGACGATCGCGAGAGAAGATAAAATCAAAGTGAAATATTTTCCTGGAAAATTTGTTACGCGTCGCGAGAGGAATCCAGGCTCCTACCGATCGATTCGCAGTCCTCGTTCGATGTACGCCTGAAAGGAGCATCTATTTACAAATTTATCCAGTGCAAATGAAACAGAAACAGTGTGTAACATTGCTCCGAGTCGGGCCATGTGCCCAGTGTTTGATTATGCTTCTGCTGGCCCAATTAACAGACCTCATGCAATTCCGCGATTATTCTTCCAGGGGGAAAAAGTCATCGGAAGTCGTTAAAACGTTTACGATCTCGCGAGACGAACCTTTATTTGTCGTCGCTTTCATATCGATCGAATAAGAACGATACACTTTTTCTCCTCAATTTTCCCTCCTCTCTGGCCGAAGGAAGAAGGAACAAGTTTTGCGAAAAATTTGCAAAGGACCGCGAATTGCGACGAGCTTCTTCGAAACACCCACCGCATCGTTCCATCGATAGCGTAGAAACGTATCATGGCAGATCATTTTGATCCCAACTACAGGAAAGGCCCCGAGGCACGGAGAAACGTTGCGCACCAACGATATAGCGATTTTCATCGTGGTAATTAATCGATTTTCAGCGCGTTTTATCAAAACCAGTTACGTAACCCGCGTGCAACCTGTCACGAGTTATGCACAAGCCGTTTTAAATGACGCGCGTAATTAATCATCGAAATATCCAGAAAATGTGTCGCTGCAAAGATTTCCGTGACAATTAACTGCTGCGGCTCCCGGAGGATGACGTTCGATGGAAAAACAATGAATATCGATTCGCCTTGATCGACGAGGAAATATATCGTAACGTAAATCCGAGAAAAATTTCATCCTCTCCCCTCGCCACTCGGCTATGTATCAGACTATCGAGTTTCGCGTTACTCGCGTGCAGATCGAATCCGCGAATCTGCGATATTTTTCGGAACGGGCTCGGGGAAATAACTTTGTCCGGCATCGAATTTCGATGAAAATTAAAACGAAACGAAAACAGGATGCTCGGAGAAGAGAAATTTAATCGATTAATCGTACTTTTTGCTCGGAGAGGCGCGAGTGTACCGATTAAGCGGAACTCCTATGGCCGCGAGAACGACAGCACGTGATCGACTAGCCACAAATCGATAGCCCTAGCTTCATGAAGCTAATGATGACACAACTGCGCGTGTAACACGTTTCGCGAAGTTTTCCATCGAATTACATTATTAACACCGTGGACACTGTGGAAGGAAAAGCAGGTAAAATAATTGAAAAATAAACTAGAAATTATCGAGCACGAATTCGATATTCGCGTTCGAGTCGCGTAGAGCGTGGATCGGACACGAAATTTTATTAAACACGAGTCGGGAGTATTTCACTGGTGCATATCGTTGTTCCGAATCGCAATTCTCACTCGTGTTTGCAGACAACTTATAGCCACAGCTGTGGCTAACTGTTGTAACTCGATTAAGCCAACGTTTCTTCATGGTCTCGCATCGCTTCCTGCACCCGCGCTTCGATTTCGTTTTCTTATGCAAAGGCACGAGTTCGATCTTGCTGCCTCGTTGAATAACTAACCGCCGAATAAGAACTAAGCACCATCATTTATCTTCGATACAAAGGTACTCTGTTATTCCGGCAAAAATTTCTTCACCCGCCATTGCAGTCTTTCGCTGCCAAACTTTCAAGTTTCATTAAAAATTTATGCGAAATACTTCGCGGAATCTACATTTTATGCGGCAGTATATTCCCTCAGCCGCGTAGCCTATCCCGAAATTACGAGAGATTCGGATAGCCTGCACCGTTCCGCATTAATGCACGAAGAACATGAACGCGCTGTACGCGTAACCAAGTTTTCGGTAGCTAAGTCAGGACACCCTGTGTACACCCTGTTTAACACTAGAACTACCGATCTTTAATGGGTACCTAACTGTAACGTGCACAGATTACAGTAATTTCAGCGATACGATGAATATGAGTGAATATATAGATTACAGTTCTTTCTTAATACGAGTCGATACCAATTTTATCCTTAAAGCAGGCGTATGATGTGTTCGGTGATCGCAAAAAGGAAAATTCTGGGACCAGTCATTTTATCTGGGTTGGTAGTTCCAGTGATAACTCCATCGTTATTCCAGCAGATAAAGCAGATACTTGTCTGATATTTCCGAGTAGTCTACGAAATGTGTCTCAACTGTGCAAAGATTCTTCCAAATTGTCGATTAACGATTCAATGTATTTCCTCGTTGGCCTCATTCGATGGTCCTAAATGTCACGGGCTTCGATTCACGAGGTGACTTACCCCGGTTTCGCGTGTGCGGGACCAGACCTCGTAAGGAGTCGTCAGAGGGAATAAATACCGGTGTCCCGGGGTATCCAATCGGGCCAGGTCGACCCGTGATTGAAACCCAGGAGCAAGGTTTATAGTCAGCGATCCGGGACTTTATTAAACTATTTCTCTTCCTTCCCCAGTCAGACGCCGGTGAAACGCAGAAAGTGTACAAAAAGCTTCGAGATCCGAGCTATACACACGCACAATGGCCGGCCATTTCGCGCGCGGAGGTGCCTCCATCTTCGACCGAGATTACGCGTCAACCTTGGAAGATAGTAACGCACTAGCGAAGCACGGTCTGAAATTGTCAGGTGATTAAGGCGACTGTAGACCGTTTTACCGTGTCGGTGTAGAATTAAAGCGAACACTCCGAGTTTAAACGATGATTCCAAAGCGGATCCATCTGCTTCGAATTTAACAAACATCTCGCGAGAGCTGGCTCAGGGAAATTTAATCGCGATTTCGGGATAACGTCGACAATAACGTCGGATCGCGAGCAAAGTTTCGAGAGGGTTACGAAAGGAAGATGGCCGGCTCGAAACGTCGGATCAATTGTTTTCCTTTAAGCGAGACGTAAATTTCCACGAAGGCAGCAGCCATACGGGAGCATAAATTCGCTCAAATTCCGACACTGGAGCAACAATTGCACGTGTCTCGCGAGCGCGAGCTTGCATTGTCTTTCGTGAATCTAGGCACGGCAAGGGTGAAGTACGCTTTTACTATTATAAGGCTGACAAAAGAGGCTCGGCTATAGCTCGCAGCCGGAAACGCTCGAGTATTCCTTTTTCTGCGGTTCTTTAGCATGGAAACGCTCGCTTGGATTTACGGCGGCACCCTTTCGATTAGATTAAGGGCTTGCTTTGCGCGAACTAATCGAGGGATCGGTCTTTCAATGGATGTTGAAAGATAAATCTTTTGATATTCTCGGGACGCTCGCTTTCAAGGTGCTTGACCGCGAACTCGGCAAATCGAACGTTTTATCCGCCATCTTCGAATAGTTTCCCGACTCGCGTTATCACTTAACTCTAGCTTAACGCGGTTGATTCTCCGGTGATCCTGGCTTCATCCAGGTTCAGCGTTACATTGGGGCACAGAAATAGGGGATCAAGGAACAGAAGCACGTAATACCGTCCATGCAATTATCGCGCACAATGAAGGGCTCTACTTTTCGGGTCACTTATTGTTCCCATTATGCTGAACATTCGCATTTCTGCTCGCGCAATTTCTGCGAAACCTCTGCGATCTAAAATCTCGAAGCTTTCATACCGAAGACCATGGTAAATTCCGCGAAAACAAGATGGCGACGCGCTATTATCACCAACAGCTGGAGCTAAGCCGAGACTCTTACAGCTGATACCCGGCCTGACGTCAGAATTATGCAGAAATCTGAAGCACGCGCAGTCATTATTATATTCGAAGAACTCGTAGGAGTCGCGAGTCCTCCCATCCGTTAAAATCTACACTCTCGACCGCGTTTAAGGATACGGCGGAACGAATCGCCTCGGCCCACGCGGAAGGAAAATGCATATGCTAGAAACATGGCAGGTGTTTCCGTCGATCTGGGTGAAATTACAGGCGTATAAGGGACTTATTTGCAGCTCGAGAAACGCTGCAAGCGCGATAGAAAAAGTAATACGACGAAAATCCTCGAGCCCAGGTTAACGAGGTCGCGTAGCACCCCTGTGACGCGTTACTCTTTCTTTCGCGTCACAGATGCGGACTCCTTCTCTCTCGCGCTGTTTGTGCGTCGGAAATTTATCGATGACGCTTTTATATAGTACGCAGGGAGGCGTTGGTAAGCACCGGAAGTCTCATTAGACTGGCCTCGGACCGTAGCAAGCGCCGTTCCAAGGAATCGTCCTTTCCAGCGGCTTGTTAAACTCCCACCAAGAATATCTCCATCTCGCCTACTTATTTCCCAGAACCTCGTCCTCTTCATCTCTCCTCCCATTCTTGCCACCCTGAAAGAAGAAAATCGAGGGAAAGAAAAAAGGAGGGGAAAGAAAGAGAAAGAAAAAGGAACTTAACTCACGGCCGGACGAAAAACACGTGTCTCCAGCGTGCAATTTCCGTCACGTTTCTCGGAAACCATCCACGCTGCATGCCTTCGCGAATCATTTCCCCATTTACCGCGGTGTTCCGCTCCATTTGCTCACGACTTTCGCTAACGTTGCTTCTTTTCCGATTCCAGCATCCAGAGACTCGATAAGAGACGCGCCTGTGGACCGCCTGCGGCCGTTGGCCAGCGGAAAACGCGATCAAGATGTGAAGCTAGGAAATTCCTGCTCGAAACACAAGGGACCACGTAGCAATTGGCCACAGGAAGCACGAAATCATGTTCAAGGCGCGACCCACCGTTTCACCCTTGTCTCCGCTCGCATGGACCACGCCGTCCGCCTCGTCCATCCTCAGGGTGACTTCCGGTATCGCGTCGACCACGCATTACACCAGCATAAGCAGCGTGTACGGCGTGATCGACCAGATGATGCCGAAAGAGGACGACGAACAGACGAACGTGGAGGAGAAGTACACGCCGTACGGAGAACGGCCGGAAACCTACATCGTGCCGATCGTTTCCCTGCTGATACTCCTGATCGGACTCACCGGAAACGGCGTCCTCGCGCTGACCATACTGCGGCACAGTAACATGTGGAACGTTCCCAATATTTATGTCTTCTCGTTGGCGCTCGGAGATCTCTTGGCACGTGCTCATTCTTAATCCACGCGAACTTGCCGCGCTAAATTCACGGTTCCCTGATTCGAAGAACTGCGAGCAACTTCTTTATCAAACTTCTTCTACAATTCTTTCTCCCTTTTCTCGCGAGCAACCGTCTTTCCGATGTGCACTCGAATATATTACATCTTCTCCGTAGGACAGCCTCGAGAAGATTCGTCTTCCTAGTTGCACGTAACGCGATCGTTATTCTTTGCATCTCCCGTGCACTTTACCTGGATAATTATCGTTAAGACTATCTCGATTCGAGAAAAAAGAGACGTGGTTTTATAAAGAATCCTAATGAGCTCCAATGTTCCTCGCGATTGGAAATTTTGCTCGGTTCCTTCTGACTTTTCGTTCGAAGTGATAATTTCGTCGATGCTTCGCTTTTCTGAAGCTAGCCTGAATTTCTCGCTGCAGGTGATCGTCACGTGCGTGCCATTTACCTTCACGGTGTACATTTTGGACTCGTGGCCTTTCGGCCTGGTATTCTGCAAAGTCTCCGAGTGCGTCAAGGATATCTCCATCGGTGTCTCCGTGTTCACCTTAACGGCCCTCTCGGCGGACAGATTCTTCGCCATCGTGGATCCGATGAGAAAGCTTCACGCCACCGGTACGAGCTTCGATTTCCCATTTTCCTGTCATCCACTTCCGGAACAGAAGTCTTCGCGGGAATCTAAAATGTTCGGGGACTTAAATAGAAGCTAAAAGCTTTCACACGTCCCTTTAACTCGATTTTACCGGTTAGAAGTAACGGCATAAGGGTAATTAAAGTTAATGAACGTTGTCCGGTCGATTTTACTTTGCGAGCCGTGTTCCAGCAAGGTTCCTCCTTGCCGCTGAAATTCTTCCAGTGTCCTGGTTTGCAGCGTAATATTCTTCGAACGCGTGTAATAGCTTCGGAGAAGGAATCTTTACATCGGAACGTCAAACGAATTCCGCTCGCTTTCGAGGGAAAGGGAGGAACAGGGAAATATATTCCAGTCGCAGTACGCTATAAAAAGAAACGTCCTGGTGAACATGGACGTCGTTGACGTAACCCGTCCTGATTACTCCACTTTTATTGTTCAAGGTACGGGAAGACGAGCCACGCGTTTCGCGGTGATCGTCGCCGCGTTGATTTGGCTATTAGCCATCATGTGCTCCATCCCGGGTTCCTTCTCCTACATCAGGGTTTTCAAAGTGAACAGCAACGTGAGCTTCCAAGTGAGTTCGGCCAGCATTCATAGGACAATTAGCCTCGTCGTTCGACCATAACGATCGATCGACGAAAGGATAGGTTTTCTCGCCATCCATTCGTTCTTTCTGTTTCCCTTGGCAACCTCAACGCCAACGTTCTTCCAATTTGCTATCCTAAGTAAATTACAGCCGTTTAATTGATCTCGAGGGAAGGTTTTCACTGCTGGTTACCGTGTTTCAAGGCCTGCTACCCGTACCCGGCGGAATTCGGTCCGAATTACCCAAAGACGATCCTCGTCTGCCGGTTCTTCATATACTACGCCGTGCCGCTCAGCATCATCGCTTTCTTCTACATCCTCATGGCCAGACACCTGATGCGCAGCACTAGAAACATTCCCGGCGAGATGCAGTGTCAGGTGAGTCGGGCAAAGTTTTCCGTTTAGTAGCTTAAAATGGATTAAAGCGCGGGGTGGAAAGTTTTTAAATTACATACGTTTGCGACTTCGATGGATCGATTATCGGCTCGTCGGCGCGTACGTGGGCAAACTCGTTGATTATCGTCGATGATCTCCCTTTGCCGGGAATTTCGAGTTTGACACGCGAGCAAAGACTCGTTTAAACTTTCGGGCAAATATCCCGATCAAAGAAACAAAGTTCGAGCAGTGTCCGAGCAAAGTTCTCGGGGCCATGGTGCGAATCTCGTTTAACGAAACAAGTAAGGCGATCGTTTGTTTTCCGTTTTTTTGTTAGGAAACGGCGCACACGGAGTGACCGTGGACACGTTTGATTACAGGTGAAGCAGGTGAAGGCACGGAAGAAGGTTGCAAAAATGGTGATGGCGTTCGTGATCGTTTTTGCAGTGTGCTTTTTCCCTCAGCACGTGTTCATGCTATGGTTCTACATCCACCCTACCGCGCAAAGGGATTATAACGCGTTTTGGCATTGTTTCCGGATTCTCAGTTTCTGCCTGGCGTTCACCAATAGTTGCATTAATCCTATCGCTCTGTACTGCGTGAGCAGCACATTTAGGAAATATTTCGACAGGTATGTTCATCGAAAAAGCACGATCCTTTTGTTAAAAGCAGAAAGAAAGAAAAAAAGGAAAAAAAAAAACACGGTCTCTGGTCTTTGTCACATATCGCGATAACGATCGACAAACGTGTTCGGTCGAGTCCCACGTGAAATCTATTTCGACTTTCCCAGCCGAGTATTTCCTATACAAGGCAAATTATCACGTTTGTGAAACGAAATATCCGAAAAACTTGGCATCGAATCGACACCTGGTGCGTGGCCATGGACTAACCTCTCGTTCGACCTATTTCCACCAATCCAGCAGACTCGATAAAAATTCATCGATTAACGGATAGCGGATTCGCGACTGCACGTAACCACAATTAATTTGCAACGTACCCTACGATTCTCTTTGAAAATCAATCCGGCTGAGCCCGCGAAAAACCCGCGCGATTCGTTCGTCGCTATGAATATTTATCGCCTCGATGGAACGGAATTCGTGGATCTGCGAACAAAGACTTCAAATTTGTCACCGTATCAATATTCCATAAATATCCAAGTGGCGCGTATCGAACCTTCGATCGCGTATGTATTTCTTTTAACGTCTTCTCGGTGTCAAGCTTATCCAACGTTGCGTTCCACATTTATCACTCGAGGTACTCGAGGTTCACGATTAGACGCGATCGTTCAACGAGGAAACTGAAGCGGGATAACCGCCAACGCGAGTTTCTGCTTTCTTATTAGCGTTGAACAGACGAGACTAACGTTATTGTAGACAACTAATAGACCATAGTCGTTAAACTACTGCGAACTTCGCTGCAGGTATCTGCTTTGCTGCGTGCCGAGGCGGATCCGCAGGCGACACCGACGCTCGTCAGACCTGAGCTCACGAGGACGGGGTCAAAGCTTCTCGCTGATGAGCTCTAGAAGGTACGACTCCCGACGAGGACAGCGAAGCGTCGTGCATCTGTCCATGCTGGGAACCGACGGGAGAGCCAGTGTCCCGATCAAAGAACAGGAAACGACCATCAGCCTGACAGCCTGTCCAAACGGGGTCGAGGATGGCCTGAGGAGCCATCACGATTCGACGGCGGAACAACCGATCAGTCGCGAGTGCTCCTTGAAATCCAAGGACTGAATAATTTTCAGCGTCTTTCCACGTAACCCTTGATCGCGAGTGCATCTCCTTTGCTCGTACAGAGACTAATCGCGTCGGCGGACCAGAGACAGTTCGAGTCAAGCGTCACGTTTTGTCTCGAAGTTCGTTCAAAGAGGAAAGGAAGCATCGTCCGTGTCTCTCGTCTTTCGTGAATCTTCGTCCAATTGTCATTGTTTAATCTCGAATGCACCAACATCGTCGAAACTAGCGGTAGGCAGGCAAGCAATCTGTGAATTGCGCCATGGTTCGCGGGCACAAAGACTGCGACTGATGTACATTTAGAGAGCACTGGATTTTCTGAATAAAATACAGGCGTATAATCTCGACGGCCTTCTACGTTTCTCCTTCACCTTTTCCATTCTTTCGTCCTCCATTTCTCTTCCAACGCTGATAGAGAGAAATAGAACGTCGCGGAACGAAATGAAAGGGAATAAAGCGTGATCGATCCCCTAATTCGATTTACGGACACACGCATATCGCTTCGCGCCATTTTCTCGCATTTTCTCGCGTTATTAGGAAATCCTCGACGTTATATTGTCGCCGCTGGACAAAGTGCCTTTTAAAACGCGATATAAATCCAACTTCAAGGCATCACGGGGCATCGAGCATCGAGTGCTCTCTGGACAGCAGCGAATCGTTCCTTCAGGGATTCGTAGCCGCTCTGCACGCTCGAGGCAAGGGACTCGAGCTCGAAAGTCGTCGCGACTTCTGACCTTCTACATCGTAATCACTTTCCGGTTCTACGATCGCCCAGGGACCGAAGAGAAATGTCTGCCAGACATGTATTCAAACGACTACGACGACGGCACACTTATGAATTCCTATATTAGATGGAGCAAGAGGTACAACCTTCGCTTTGTCCTTCTCACTTCGTTTCACTTCGTTCCTCCATTTCCATCGCGTTCTTCTGTTCCCACCTGCGCCACCCTTCACGCAGCCTTTGACCACGGAACAGAAATTCAGCGGAATCGATTTTACCCGCGAATCGTTCTCCGCAGACTGGCCAGACTACATCAACGAACCCTGCGAATGTGTCAAGAGAACGAGTACATGCATCGCGACGACGAAGGTCCGTACTCGAATCCAACTAATTCCTATCTTCCGCTGATACGTAACGAGGTTAATGTCCGGTTCCAGCGCGATACTCGTTATTACGTTACCACCGTCCCGTGATCGGGTTATTGCCACCGCTGCTGCAACGATGGATCATTCGCTCGTTGCAGCTAAATTCCGTTTCAACGGCCGTGTTAAACGCGGAATCGAATCGACGAAACGCCGCGCATTCGTGATTCCGCGAATCAATGAAAATATCTCGTTTCGCGCACGGTTGACTCTGCGATCATCCGTTTTATTTCTCGTTTCACGTCCTCTCGCTCGTCGATGATATCGCCGACCCTGCGACGTATGTTAATACGATGCGTCCCGCGGGAAAATGAAATTCTACGAGACTCGCGGCGCCCGTTTCGTCCTCGGCAATTCGCTCCGGATCCATATTCGTCTCGCGACGTTTCTAGTTTCGATAGAGGATGAGTCCTTTGCAGGGACATTCTGCCAGGCAGACGCGATCGAATGTTCGTTTTAATTTCATAAACGGAAACGTCACGGTTTGATCCTCGAGCAGACAAACGATCTCGACAGAGAGCGAGGAGGTGAAAGCCGACGAGGAGTCCTGCTGGAAATGCAGAGGAGACACCGCAGACGAAAGCGCATCCTCGTTCCCTCACATTCAAGACCTCTGCCCAGCTGACAGGAAAAGGATAGCTTTGCTGGTTAAACAGTTAATTAAGTAAATTCCCTGTCTCTTCTACGTTACTGTGTACATCCGTATTTAATATCGGAAAAAGCGATGCTTCCAATCACCCGGATACTTCGTCGCCATTGGCTAGCGTCGGACCAGCCACGTACATCTCAATTTTCGTTAAACGGTATAATCCGAGACGAAGCTGGTAGAAATATCCATCGATAATGAATCTCCATTACGACGTCATTTGGCTACTTTGTCACTCCGTTTCCTATTTCTTCCACCCCGTCGCGGCCATTTCTTTCCGTCATCGACTACGGGCGTGCACGTTTGTTCGTCGCGTGTGTCGTGAATACATTAAAGCGTACGCGCAGTCGCTTCCGAAAGTTGGTAATACCGCCTGGTCAGTGCAGAGAGAGAGAGAGAGAGAGAGAGAGGGAGAGAGATTTATCAGAGAAACTGATTAGAGCCAGCGACGCCTATTAAAAGTTTGGAGCGTGTAATTCGTGTCCGGTGTGTGGACCAGTCGAGATAACCCTTGGGAACGATCGCGGTGTTCCGACAATAAGCCAGCAACGATTGGTCGAGATTTTTCCTCCACGATCTGCATACTGCCGTACGAACCTCGATCTCAATTAAGATAATGGCAGCTACGCTACGTGGCTCTCGCTCCGTCTGCGATAATAAATTACCGATCGGGAATTACGCAATTAACACTGGCGAATTAAACGAACGTTTCACTGGAATTTTACACCTGACTTCGTAACTTTGTCGAGAACGGGGCAAAAAATCCGGCCAACGAGTCCTCCAGTTTCTCACGGCAAAGGTAAATCGACCGTAGCCGGGGTTCCCTTTGTCGTAACGCGTAATAATTCCCGCAGTTACACGGGCTATTTGCAATTTCGCGCACGCTTTGCGGGAACAGACGATGGAGAACTGTTTGTCGCGTAGATGCACGAAGGAGCTGCGTGACGCCAAGGCCGAGCTGACCGTGAGCGAATCCGAAAAGGAGGCGATGAGAAGTCAGTACGAGAAATCCCTGGACCGTCGTGAAACGGAGAAGAAGCAATTAGAATTCCAAGTAATGCTCTGTTTCCAAGTTACTCGAACATTTCCACGATATCTCTGTCCTCCTGTCGTCTTTTTGTTTCCCGCGCTTTCGCCGTAACGTGAGAAAGTGGCGCGACGCGGAGACCTAACGGGGCACGATCCAACAAGCGAGGGGGCTAACGCGGAAAAGAGTCGATTGCGATGAACAGCAATGTGGAAAGCGATATTGACACATGACCATGTCGGTAATATGTATGGTCGGATCGTAAAAATGGAGGTTAGACGTGGATCAGGGTAGCGAGCTAGATCCGCGGTTGGTGCAGTAACTTTAAATAAAAGCTAACCCTCTTTGCTGAATACTTTCACGAAGCTACTGACCATGCATTGACATACTGTACACGCAATAAAACTATCGGGAAAGGATCTTGTATCGCGACCTACGACACGTTAACCGTACCTCATTAACCGTACAGCATAGTTTGCTTAAGGCTAGCAGCCATCGGGGCACCGGTGCACTTAGCTCCAGATTGCTCACACAGATCGACCACGAGCTGACCGTGCCCAATTAACTTCGGTGCTCGGACAGGAACCGCTGTCAAAATTTAACGCGACTGAACCATTGAACGTTGACGTCCAATGGAAAAAGTCAATTGAAAGTTGAGGAATCCTGATATCGCGTTTCGTCCCTGTTCCATTAGCTAGACCAAGCGCGGGTCGAGACGAAAGACTTGAAGACTCGAATTTCACATGTCCTGGAGTTGTTGACGCGACAGGTCGCCGCTCAGGAGAAACAATTCCTCGAGCTGACGGAGACGGTGAACGACTTGGTGAAGGAGAAGTGCCGATTGCAGAACGCCCTAGTCGAGAAGCAATCGGAAAACGATGTCCTCCAGGCTAAATTTCAAAGAACGAAGGAACTACTCGCTGCAAAGAGATTGGAACGCAGCAAAGATGGCGCGAGAAAGGCTCATCAAGCTTGTCAAACCGAGGACCTCGAGACAACGGAGTAAGGAAAGTTTATTAACGAATCGAAGACTGCAGCGGATCGGGTTTAATACTTTGGGGTAAACGAGGGGGAGGAAAGTTAAACTCCTGCTTTCGAAGAAAAGGGGTACTGCGAAAGAGATGTTTGCGAGAGAAATTCATTTACGAGATTTGGAAAGAGAAAATAGAGCTCTCTGAAGACTCTATGCGACAAATTGCGAGTTTGTTTGGTGCAAATAAAACGAGTCTCTGACCTGCTTCGTTTTTGGGGGTTGTTTTGGGTTCTCATCGGAATGGTGTTTTAATAGGAGCGTCCAAGAGGAGTCGGACAGGGACTCCATCTCGTGTCGACTGCAAAATGTACGTGTCAAGAGCAAAGACGACCTGGAGAAACCATCCAGCGAGGGAAAGTTATTGAGGGAGTTGTTCTTCAGGAAACCGAGCGTCGAGGATAGCGGGAGCTTGGATATCATCCCGGTTCTGTCGGAGGTTGACCTGCAGACCAACCCTTCCAATCGTGTCCTCTTCTCTTGACGTTTTATCCAAACCTGAAACATATTCTTCGTTAACAAATGTTTATTCGCGTTTAAAACGATATTCGTATATTATTTAAAATCAAGATACAATACTCGTATCGTTCATAGGTAAAAGTAGTATTCACTGGCTGATGGTAACCAGATGTTACTTCCGAATCGATAACACAGAAGATACGCAGAAGATACAGTTTAGAGACTGTGCTAAACTTGAACGCTAAATTGACGAGATCGGTAGATGTGAAAAGATTTTCTTCCGTGTTCGCTGATAGAAATAACTGATGGTTACACGCGAGCATTTATAGTTCATAGATGTGAAATAAACTAAATAAATTTTCTCAGAAAATTTGCGATTATGTATTCCATATTACTTTTGAAATAGAGTTACATTCAAATTTTAACTTTTTCTCTAACCTGTAATATCCGATGGTTGATTGTTGTAAAGCTCTCTTTCTTGAAATTTTGGAAAATTGAGGGTGATGGAGCAATTTCGACTACGGATTCGTAAAACCAACTCTACAAGAATTACCCAGTGGATGTTACAGATTGAAATTCGTGTTGGACAGTGTTATTTGTATCATCGAGTGGTAAATAAGTTAACGCTATAAAATGTTCGTATTAAATAAGTGATTGATAAATAGTAATACAGGATTCTATATAAAACCAAGGAAATTTATAAATTATTACCTAATGTCGTGGTAGATGGGATACGAGATTGAAATAAAATTTCCAAAGACGCTGAATTTGCTCTTCTTCGTTGTGTTCTTTATTACATGTGAATTATTTTATTGAAACAATTAGTCGACATATTCCTGTTATATTTTCCAAATGTTGCACTTTTTCTGAGGATTCATGGGGCTGCCCAAAGGACAGGAAAATGTATTTGCGAAATCCTGATTGTTCGAAAGGGCACCGATAGATCTTAATCGTGCTATGCTGTGCACGTCTAATTTCGCTTCTGTCACTGTCGATTCGAAATTTTCGTCTCTACACCATAACTTGAAAACAGAAAAAAGAAAGAAAATGAAAAGATAACTGAACCTTTTTAAATATTACAATTAAAGAGGGTCGATTTTGCAAGAAGATTTTATTTTTAATAAAATGCATACATTGGCAGAAGATAGAAAGAAAGTTTGATCATTGTCGAACATTTCTAATCCAGGTAACGCTGACTCTGGTTTCCCAATTATCCTTTCCCTTCGTTTGTACGCCCTAAACGCGGTTTTTAATCCCATGGTGTCTGGCATGTTTTCGTCAAAAGTAAGATTGCCATAATTCTGTGAATTAATATTCGCAGTATATTTCTTAAAAGATATTTCTTGCTATGAAAATTCATTGAAAACACAGCGAATCGTTACCATGATTTTTGGACCAGATGGTGTTGTACTCAAAGTGTAATTATCATACTGCTCGATGAAACATCGAGCACTTTCGTAGTATCGTTTAGACATTGCTTCTGACCAGGTTATCGTTTTTCCATTTTCATCGTAACGATGTCCTGAAAATATTCTCAAGTCAGTAGAATACGAGACATAAATTTTAAGAAAGCATTACTCACTTAGCTCGTCAAATGGATGGTACATTTCATGAGCCAGAAGATACCCAGTCAATGCATAGTTGACGGTGCTGGAAGAAAAATAATCGCAATTAAACATCCAATTTTCGAATAAAAATTTACTTACGAATTTCGACACATACTTGGGCTGATTTTTGCTGAAAAATGGCTTCTGTAAATTGGCCAATGGTACAACTAAATAATTATACAGAAAAAGAAGCTTCGTAAGTATGTCACAAATACTTGAATCACGAAGATTGACAGAACTTACTAATCGAATTCGGTTCGGTCAAATAAAACGCGTTGATGGTCAAAGGATTAATCAGCCATCTAAATACAGAAAAAAAAAAAAAAAAAAAAGAAAACGAATGTTCAATCTCGATTTAATTTCAGTCGTAATTAATCCTGATACAAATACTTACGATTTTGCTACATCGTTGTACTTCAAGAGCCGCAATTCCTTCAATTTGTAATACTTCAAAAATTTCAAAGCATTTTCAAAATAGCTCGGTCCCATAGTTAGCTGTAAACGAAAATTAAATTGCATTCCATCCTCGATGCCTCTATAATGAAATAACCAACGTACCTGTCCAAAATAATTCTCCATAATAGTCGAGTTGTTGTACCAATCAGGATAACCGATCTTCTTCTTCATGAGTCTAATTCTTCTTAAAGCCAACTCCTTTATCGTCTCGTTCGCCCAATTCGATTTCTCGATATCGATCTCCACTTCCCTCCTCATATCGTCCAACACGTCCAACGTCTGATGCACCAAAAATGAAAATTTTATTCGAAATTTCGACACACTTTTCGCTGCTTCGTAAGAACTGTACGAAAATCTTACCTTGTTCACAGCGTCGTTAGAGAAATATCTCCTCGAGTATTCGTACGCGATCACGTCCTGTATTTTCGCCTCCTCGATGCACAAGTCCGATCTGCGAATAATCGGAAAATAATCGCGCCAGCCACGGCCAGGTAATTCGAACGACTAATCGAAATTAAATCGCCGCCACGTGCCGCTACATCCGCGCACGCCATCATCCAAATTGAACCCTATACCCGTTTCACCTTCCATTCTTCCATTTTCCATAGCTACGTTAAAAGCAACGGGAGATGCCAGTCGAATGTTTAGTGCTCTTTGGATGCCACGTCAGTCGTGTTAGCTTTTAATTTTCACCTCCAACGTTCTCAAACTCGTTCCAACGTGAACCTAGCACGATGTTTGCTATGGAAATTCGCTATACGAACCTGTCTTCCCGTACGACCGTGTCCCAGTCCACCATTTTCTCGTGCAGCTCCCTCATTTCGTCGGTAGTCCTCGTGATCATGGACGAGACGAAGCTCCAATGGAGATAATTCACTGCACCAAGATTATCCAGAGTGTAAAACAAATATCTCGAACAAGCATGATCATCCTTACCTATTGTTATGCTCGAAGTTTCGTCGAGCAGGGGAATTAATTTCCGGATATATCCAGGGGAGGCGACTTTCAAGACCGTATTTTCGGGAATATCGATGCCTGCCTCCTTAAAGACACCGATTATCTTGTCCGTCCAATTTATCTGTAAGTCCTTTTATTATTAAAAGATAGGCACATTTGAAAACGATAGAAATGGAATATCTCTCACAGCAGATCTTTCCGTAAGCGGTCTCAAATTATTGTACCAAGTTTGGAAGTCTTTCACTGTCGTGTTGACGTAATCATCCACTAGACTCGTTATCTGTGAATTATAATTTATTTATTTATTAAAACTTAAGGTCAGAGCCCCTTTTAATAAAGAGATATAAAATATGCACGCACAAAATAGGAAAAGCTATACAGCAGACAATAAAAGGAACAACGCTATACACCAAGTTTCATAGGAAAAATGAAATTAAGTAGAACAGGATTACGTAATAATAAATAATTTCACGAAACGATGACACGTTGTTACGTGATCCTTAACAGTTATAACCTTAATCTCATAATCTTAGACGGACACAGGATTCGTGGTAATTTTTCATTCTGAAAATTCATCAGACCTTCGACAATTTCCATTGGAAGATCAGTATATCCGAGATGTCTTCCTCTATCTGATCCCACGTTGCGTTCAGACCCCCATCCTCGACGATCTTCGACACAATTTTCGAAATGAAATTTCGATACCTTTTCATATCCTTCAAGCGCTTTTCGTGGTCGTCTGTCTCGCTGCTGTCCCCGTCGAAAAATTTATCCAGCAGCCACGAGTACGGTGGCATATCAGGAACGTCCAGCTGAAAGGGTAAAATAGAATTTGCAAAATCGTCACGCGTTCGAGAATCGATTACTCACCACCGCGGTCAGCTCTTTCGAATTACGACCGTATGTCGTGACCCGAACATCGTGCAACAAATTGAATCCCCTTAAATGAGCGTAATAATCGTCGATATTCTGCCATTTCTGCTTGCACCGCGCGTTTCGCTGCATTGTTATCGGCCATCCACCGATTTCATTCAATATCGAGACTAATGGTCTCATGCCACGTTCGTTCATGTCCTCTACAAACAGAAGGAAGCGATCGAGACGATAAAACTCGCTATTTTCGACAATGTTCCTAGGACTTCTCTGTCTTCGAACAAGAGCGTCCCGGAATTTTTGCTCAACCCCTGGCATTTGCTGCCACGAATCTCCTCGTTTACTTTATTTTATTAATACTTCGGCTAACTACCTTTGTTCATGCAGACTTTGTACCACTGCTTCGCTATTTTCACCGGAGGAATTTCATCGCCTCGCAGTTCCAACTTTAACATCTCTGCAATATCGTTTTCGTTACTCCCGACAAAAGTTGGCGGAACGGCTGAAACTTACCATTGACTTTCCGTTTGTTCTCGCTATCAGAGGCCGCTCGCATTCGCCCGAATTTCCCTGCAGCTGCAAGTGAATCTGTTCTCGGCCAATTGCCGCATGCATATTCATAGAAGTCCATGCACGGATCCACAGAGGCGTTCATGTTCGTTAGTATCACCCTGGCTGTTTCATAGGATCGTAAAAGAAAAAGTTTCTTTTCTATTCCGCGAAATTTTCAACGAAACTTTACCGAATTCCTCGCATTCCTCTGTCAAGCAGACGGAACGTTGGTCGTTTCTAAACTCGACCACTCTGGCGTCCACGAAAATCACGGAACAAAATCTGCGCAACAATCGAGAATAATTTCATGGGAATTATCGTGGCTTTTACTCGAGTAACGAAGAAAGGGAAGGTACATCTCGAAGAAGATATTCGAGGAGCAAAGAAAAATAGAAGAGAAATAAAATAACACGTACAGGATAATTCCAAGCAACATTGTCCGCGATACTCTGCCGTTAATGTTCACAGCGACACTAATTATCGAATCTGAATTTCAAGTGAGCATTTCGGAAGCAAATAACCGATAATAATTTTATATCACGGAGGCGTTACACGGTATCGCTGTTAATCGCTCGTCCCAATGATTTTCCCATGGACATTTCGTGCACGTTGCTCGCGTTCATTATAAACGAATTTCGAAAACTGTTTTCGCGCGATATGACCGCGCAATTAAATCATCGCAGACGAAACCTATTGCATTTCGTTTCCATCTGTCAATCTATCTGCTACTCTGCCATTCTACCACTATTCTCGCTATTCTCGCGCGGAAAGTCATCCGAGTAATATTTAGTTTCCCTGCCAGCATTCAATCGCAGTTTCGATTGTCAGTATCGCGAGTTGCTGATTAGAACTAACAGTATCTGTATTTTCTGACCAGTGACCCGAACATTTCGGCGAATGCAGAGGCTGCCGTGTTCCGCGAGGCTGTTTTTGCACGATGACGTTGAATTCCGTTGGAAAATAATAAAGACGCGTTGTCCAATTACGAGTCAACATTCGTTGTATTATCGCAATGACACCGTGACGGATAATTATCGTTCAACGGGGCACGTTCGACGCAGAACACGCTATGGCAGCTGTCAAACAATTCGTTCGTTAAATTAACGAAAATTCGCGCACCGACGGGCAAGGACACGATAACGGTGCAGCGAGATTTTCTCCGCTTTTCCGCCAAGCAACAACCGGTTGATGGACCCTAAAATAGAAAGAGAGAGAGAAAGAGAGAGAAGAGTGAAAAAAGGAAAGAGAAGGCGGCGAGCCGATGGGAAGCAAAGCACAGAATATCAAGTTGACGTCAGCCGAGCGATTCAGTCGACTGCTTTGAAACTGTTGCATTTATTTACATCAGTGATTGCAAAGAAATAATATACATACGAAGCATCGTTGTAAACGTTCTGATTTTTCGGTCTCTCGTCTCGTGTGTTTTCGCCTTTTGATACGCGTGGCGGCTGGTATTTACGCCACACTCCGACACCGTGATCTCTTTCCTCGATCGTGATATTGCATCGTCGGAAAACGGCGCAACCTTAAGCTAATTGTAGTCGCTTAGTATACATTTTCACCCTCTTTCGTTTTCTCATTTTACCACCAGCTTCATCCTACCCCGCGTCGAGGATTACCTTCGAACGCTGATAAACGGCGATTAACTCGCTAGTAGACAGAGTATGCACTCGGTACGTAGTAAGGCGTAATTGGACGATCGTTGATACAATCTTCTGGCGACTTACGAACAGGTCGCTGATCGTTTTACTACGTGTCTGTTTAGAAATAAAATTGACATTCCTTTGAAAATCGGTAACAAGAGGACTGTCCTCGGACACTCTTAAACAGGCGTCGTCGACTTCCTATTCGTCGGTAAAAGGATAGAAAGAGATTAAAAACGAAATTAGAAAAGAGGATAGAGAACTCATGAAATAAAGAAAAATATAGAACCTGTTCTTTCGCTGAAACGATCTGGAGAGGAAAGAAAGAACGTGTAATTTGTTTGAAAAGTCTGAAGGATCTACGAAGGAAAGATGCTTCGGATCTGTATGCACGATCGTTATCGGAACATTAGAAGGACGTCGAAGAGGGTCATTTTCGACCTGTCTCGCGCCAAATCGAAATCGTGAGCAATCGAACGTGACACGGAAGCGGAAAATTTCGGTCATCTGCTACTCGAGAACAACGATGCGAACTAGCTGGCGCAAGCTGGATCGACCTGGCCGCTTCTTCTTTATTACTGACTTCGTCGGGGATCGATTGACCGGTAATTTTCGGGCAAAGTACTTACTATAGAAATGCCATAATATTTACAATAGGGCGACGTTAACGCGTCGTCGTGATACGCGAGAATCCCATGAGACATCGGTGGATACTACGATTACCTTCCTTGTTCGATGATCTAGGACTATTTAATTTAATCGTTATTCTTTTAAGCGACGATCGCAGAACGATTGCGTGTGCAGCGACGAATGAAATGAACGTTTATACAACTGCACGCGATAGTTGTCGCGTACACGTGTTCGTATCGCCAAAGTTTCGAGCGGTTCGAGCAATCAGGAGAAATTGATTAAGTCTAATTGCCGTTCCATTGCACGTACCTCGTTAAATATACGATAGTGCCAACGATACGCGTAATCGCGTGACAAATCATTGACGTATCGTCTAATTAAATCGCGAGCAACCCCGTGGATCGAGAAAATGCGGCAAAGCGCGAATGAGCAAAGGTTCGATTTTATAACCGTCGTCCAGGTTACAGCCAAGTATATCTTACAGCGAGAGGACCATGAATCGTTAAAGGCGCTTCTTTAATTAAAACCTTAAAGTGATCGAAACTATCGCGGACCCAACAGCTGGATCACCGTTGGTAATCTACCGCCTCGAGATCTCGATCGCTTCGATCCGCTCTGGATTCGAAGCCTATGGCGTCCTCGTCGTCTTTTCTCTCCTCGAGCAGGTAACTAAACGTTATTAGGTAAAGTGTATTTTATCGTTAGACGTATTCGAAGAACGCGGAGCTATTTCAAAGACAGAACCTTGTCGTTGATCTCGGAAACGATCGCTTCGACGGGAACGCGTCGTAATGTTGAAAAATCCCTCTTCGCGCGGAACGTACCGTGGCAACCGAACGTAGACGTCTCGATCGCGATCCGGATGATCGTTGAACCCGGTCGTTCCAGCGGAAACATTGCGGGTAGAGAACTCTACGGACTCGCTAAGGTTTGCCTAAGTACGTGACACGTTAGTTGAACGCTATCGAAAGGAGAGGAAGGATTTAGTTAATAACTGTCTTATTTACACGAGACTCATCCGTCCGCACGCATCACCAATACCCCCGTTCCATGCACTCACACACGGGCACACTGTCGCGTTCTTAAAACGATCGAAATTTAAATCCACTGTCAGCGAATTATCCTGGAACCACCGCAAAGCATCCTCTTGAAGGCTTGCCTGAACTCTGGTGAAAATACTGTGTATATCACAGGGTTCAGGGTGCTGTTGAAGTAGCCCAGCCACAGGAAGACGCTTGCTATCAGATTCGATGGCTCGCAGACCTCGCACGTGGCACGAAGCAACGCGATCAAGAAGAAAGGCAACCAACACACCACGAACGCCCCGGTGATTATCGCGAGCGTTTTCGCGGCCTTCCTCTCGCGTTTCGACTCGATCGTCTCGCGCGTTCTCTTGCTCGAAGAGGTCGAGTGGCTGCACGAAGGGTTCGTCACGGTGGTGGTGGTGGTGGTGGTCGTGGTGGATATCGCTGACGGCGTGACGGTCGTCGACTGCGTCGCGTTCGCCCCGTTGTACGACGACGACTTCTCCGGCGAGATCGACGAATGGTCCGGCGTGGATCTCGTTATGGTGAACGCCGTCGACTCCTCCCTCGGTCTGAAACGTAGGTAACGTGTATGACATGGCAACTAACAATCCTTCCTGCATCCCTATCCCGCAACAAATATCTCTGGATATATTTAACGTGACTCCCGCTGCGAACGGGATCAAGATCCACTCGCGTAATGCAACGTAACGAGCTGTTAGCCGGTTGCGAGTATGCTCAACGATTCAGCGAGGTAATTAGCCCGAGGTGCACAGGTAATGGCCTCGTGGAAATCACGAATGAAGAAGGATAAGTTAAGGTACACCGCTAACGAGCCTTGCAACCGTGTATCTATTCAGAGTCGTGGGGAAGCGGAACCTTCTTGTGACGAGTCTGAGGATGCCTTTTCTTTCACGAGGTGGCTGCACGATAGTCCCCGGTCTCTTTCTGATCCGCTTCCGTGCCGCTTGAAATATCCTCCAGTACAGGAATAGAATAACCAGCAGGGGTAGGTAGAACGTGGCGCATGTGGCGAAGATCTGCAAAGTATTTTAAGAAATTCCAACTTTAAACCTTCCCCTAAACAAGCTTCTAAATATTACCCCGAGATCGTGACGTGGTCGCGTAACACCGTCGCCGATCGAACAGCGGTATGATCAGTCCGGATCATCGGATTTGCTCGCCGGGGCGGTTTTATCCGCGCAACAGATGTAATTTCGAAATAACTCGAGGAAGATTCTGATTTGTCGAGCAGCTCTTACCTGGTATGCGGGGTCCTGCGACACCAGACACGTTCCGTTCGCTATACGGTCCAAATAATCAGGATCCTTCCAGCCAAGTTGAGGCGCCAACGAGATTCCTAAGGACACCACCCAGACGGTGACGATCAACATACCGATCCGCCGTGGATTCCTCGCCTGGAAGTAAAGAAATTCTTTCACCGGTTATCACACCCGAGAATTGGCGAGCCTCGTACCTCTGGCACTCCTATATGCCCGAAAATATTTTTATAACTCCGATGTTCGACAGAACATTCGCACCGCGACCAAGATGGAAAACGCACGCGGAAACCGCGTTTTGATTCACGATCGAAATAAAGAAATAATTCTGCCGCGCTTTGCTCCAGGCTTACCGGATCGAGCGAGGATCGCAGCGATCCTGATCTTGGATCCCGTCGCTCAACTATCTCGGACATGCGTGTATCGCTAGCGGGATGTCAAGGGACTTAGGTACGATTAATTATCGACTATCGGTAATGGGACGTCAGATTGATCGCTGGTACGGAATTGCAGTGGAAGTTCCCGCGCAGCCTTGCACGTTAATCTCGGATGAAATTAAATTTCGCGGCACTCTAATTTCGATTCTTCGGTAACCGAGTTCCGCGCGCGAGGCGTAGTCGAATTCCCAATTTCTTGGGCAATTTTACTAAGTAAAACGCATTATCGCGGGTATGCCGGGGGATTGAATGGGATCCTTTCGAGGAAAAAGGAAGAAACGACTCCACGGTTGCACACGCAATAACCCTCTACTAATTGCACCTTCCACTTTAATGACCCGCAGTCGTACAAGGGGAGCAGGACACCGGAGCCAGATTATCTAGTCGTATTCTAGGATCAATATACGGCCGTTTTCACCACCCTGTCCCTAATCTCCTCGATACTGTCGTCCCTTCGAGGTCCATAGACACGCGATCGTGACGTAAGTTCGCCATTCGTTACCGTTCTAGTCTCTCGACTACCTGTCGACCGCGACAGTGTTAATTAACCTGTATATAATTGAGATCGGTGACTGCCCAATATCTGTCGACCGCGATAGCCACCAGATGCAATATCGAGGCAGTGCAGCAGAGAACGTCGCTGCTGGTCCACATGTCGCAAAGCTCAGGCCCGAGCGACCATCCCTCGTTTATCTGTAATAAACAGAATTATCTGTTAGAGGGTATGCGTCGCTGTGTCGTCGTCGTGTCGTTGGATCGATCAGCGCAGGGATCCTAAGGGTGTCTTTAGTCCGCTCCTAGCCATGTGTACCATGGGAACTGCACGCTGCCTTCGCTTGGACGATCTGGCGTTTCAGGTACAAGCGGATGCGTTGCTCTAAGCTATCGTATGACTCTAGCAACTGGTTCGGCATAATTTTCGATTTTTACGACGACTAGACGAGATCCTAGGTTTCACGTCGAAACCTAGTAATTGCTGGTCGAATGGATACTGGTTGTCGGAACAATATAATTTATTTAGTTTGCAAACACACGCGGAATTGATTTTTCACTTTCATTATCGAGATGGAAAAGAGCTCGCGAGCTTCCACGTTGTTAACCGTTTCGCGCACATTAACTCGTTTCTCGAATATTACTTGGACGAAGAATGAAGCCGTTAGCGAAACGTCATTTCAATTTCACTGAGCATCATTTTACTGCATTTGACGAGAAAGTCTAATTACAACGGTTTCTATAGGAGAAAATATAGTAATGAAAACAGAGAAACGAAGGATCTCACGGCTTGAAATTGTAATATCAGCTTCTACGACGGAAGCTATAGTAATAACAGACGACATAATGAAAATTACTGTAGTGGTGGACCCTCGACGTTGGAAATTCTCGGTAACTACTACAAACTCGAAGTAGCAGCGTGCCATCGTGCCTTCAACGGGATTCTGTCGACATGAAAATTCTCGTACTCCTCTCTGTGACAAGCGCAAACTACATGGCACACTCATTTCCAATTTGCCACACGTGCAAACAGTGAAACCGTCGATGTAAATAACACGCGTCTCGTTACAAACACGAGGACTTTTCTAAATTCCATTGTATTTGGTGCTCTGCCGTTGTGTAAAAGTGCAGAATAATGTCCGCGTGTTTTTCTTCGCTGTCCATTCGACAGGGAAAAAGTGAAATGCACTATTGCAAACATCAGTTTAATGGAAGTTATTCGTTCGATTGACATAGCTTCTGATCGAAAAGAAATTCCCCAAATAAAACATCCAGACAAATAATCGCCAGATACCAGGATGACGCATTCGTGACAGCGAGCAACGAAATGTCTTGAATAAAATTGAAAAAACATCTCGCAGATGCTCCTAGATACTGCTACGTGGGAAACGTGAAACGTGAAATTAAATAAAATTTTGCTCCTGGTAAAAATTAAATCGTAACAACAGATCATTGGAATTATTGAAACGCACTGAAGGACTTCGACTTCATTCGTGAAAAAGTCCTCGAAAGATTGGAACCCTGGTTGACCCAAGCTACTCAGAAAATAGAGGAAATCATACCACCGGAGCTCCTTAGTCTTTCATCTAAATATCTCAATCGGTTTTCCAGATATAAGAACTCGAATAGCTCATGGTAGGTACTTCGGGCAGCACAGGGTCTGCTGAATGGGTCTGCAAGCTCCGTGACCCACATCTTCTCCTGGAAATGCGTACTCCCGAGTTGTAATAGTAAAAAAGCGCTGACTCAACGTCTGTCACTGACCAGTATACTTGTCGCAAGCTCGGGATAGGTTAGTAACGAGTGAGAGATCCGAGCGTACGACGAGGACAGAGACACTAAACGATTAAAAATCAGCTTCCACTTCACGCGATGATATCTCGAGAACAGGAAGTCGCATTGAGATGAATAAAAGAGCAATTTAAAGTAGAAGGTTCCGCGATTCTATTCATCTTTCATCCGTTCACAGAAAGTTTCTGCCGTCGGAGTTATAATGGCTCAAAGTTCTACCAATTTCAACTAGATACGGTTGAAACTCTGAGCAAATTTTGTAACAGATATATTCTTTTTAGCAACGATTCTTTTTATCACGATGTTTGGAACAGTCTGCTGCAACTCTCGAGTGGATTTAAGATTTCCTTCGTCCTTTATTTAAAATACGGCGGGGACCTTTGTCTAATTTATTTCGATATTTTCGAGTTCAAGACCGAGTTTTCCACTCGTTCTCACCTGTTAGGAACTGTAACGGGTTGAATCGTAGCAAATGTTTGGAATTCTTCGTTTCAAATTAAGGGACACGTAACACTAGAATGTAGAGGTCCAAAGTTACGAGGGACGAAGAATGAGGGGGTTAATAAACGAAAGGGCGCCCAACTTTATGAAGGGTCCTTTGAAAGGGTAGGAAAACGTTTCTTTGCCGATCTTTCATTGTATCCCACTATCAAGCATCGTACAAATGCGAGCGAACAAAGGTTTGTCGTTTCAATCTTCCATTACTCACGCTTTCTGCTTTAATAAAATTCTCCCTGCTTTAACGAAATCGAGGATATTACCTAGATAATTAAACGCTAACTCTGCACGATGACTAGGGGAATATCATGAACGATTACCCTCCGGAATAAATGGAGAAAAGAGTATGCTGATTTTCCCATAGAACACGTTCTTGGAACTACTTGTACGGTCTCGTTGAACGCAGGATATTCGCGAAAAGGATTAATCAAACGAGATCACCGCGAAGTTAATGTCAATGCAAACGCTACCCCGATGAATTGCCGTTGATGGTATTCCGTTATTTCACGGTAGGAATATTTCGAATCCGGTTCATTAAAAGTGCGTGACTCGTTAATTACGAGCGTCCGACAACTCGCTTGCCAGCGTAATTACCCAGGCAATTCGCGATACGTATTTGTCCGCTGGAAAATTGATCGCGCGCACAGCGAAGAGCAAGAAGTCTCAAGGACCGTTCCGTATCGCTTCCGATAATTAATTCACCGATAACGAATAATAAACGTAGCGATCGTGACCGGCACGAAAGACGACCGGATAGAGTTCATCCGGCTTTTACTCGAAGCCCTCGGGCCGCGTGTAAATTTGAAATCACGAGAGAAAGGAGAGAAAGAGAGATAGAGAGAGCAAGTTTGAACTAGTGGTACACTACGAGCGACGATTGATTTAAAAGGTTGTCCCATTTTTCGAGTCCCTGAAGGGTCCCTTGGCGGCGCTTACCGTGCGCGTTTCTAAATAAAGCTTCTTCTGCTTCTGTCAAAGTTGCAGAAGACAGTTGCCTTGCTATGATAAAGTCGGCACTTTTCTCACCCTCTTTTGCTCCTCCATCCCAGCACTTACGTAACGGAACGAGGCCACCGCTCTCTTCTAATTTCCATTCAATTTGGCCAGGTCTTAAACCGCCTCGAAACACGTTTACGATCATTTCGCGTCGATTACGTAACCCAGATGCCGATGGATAAAAGCTACGCAAACTACCCGGTCTGCGTCGATCGATTGACCGGAGTTGAAAAATTCGTTTCGAGGGAAACCCGGGTCTTCTTAAACGACGAGCCACGAATGGAATTCGGCCAGCAGCGGGGAAGAGCCTGGTTAGTTGCGCGATAGAGGATTTCCCATGACAACGGGATTCAATAGCCAGGATGAGCATCTTTTTTGCCACGAAGATCCATTACACGATGAGGCAAGACGATCGGCATCCGTGAACGTAATCGCAACGGCGTAGTCGTGCATCAATGTGTTGAACACAAGCTATCTGAATACCAAGAGACTGGGCATCGAGCGGCAGACGGGTTGGAAAGCGTTTGTTCGCGTACAATAGAATCTCCGGCTCGGCTGCCACAACGGACCGGCTTCGTAAATCATCTGTTCGTGTCAGTGCGCAACATATTCGCAAGGAGATTAGGATCGATACACCGGTATCAGAATTCCAGCAGGCCGGTCATGCCGCGGCACTTTTGGATTTTTCCATTCCGAGAGACCGTGCTGCACGAGATTCCTCTAATTACCAGCCGCCATGCGGATTCGTCAATCGCCGGGCAAAATGCTGGTTTCGCCTGGCGATACTCGAAATACAAAACCAGAAGTTTTCTGCTCAATGACTGCGAATTCCACTCGATACCTCCATTTCTCCGTGTCCATGGTTAATCAATCCCGATAAAAGCTTTATCGCATCGCGTCGTATCGGGAAACGGTTTAGAGATTCGACGACACGGTGGAATTTTTAAGAATTAATCGTGAAACAGGAACGGTGGCGAAAGAATTGCTGAAAAGTTGTGCGAGTCCGGATCGAATTCGCTCGCGCGAAATTAGCCAGGTTGCTTAATCGCGGTAATTGAAACAGGGCTCGGTTCCAATCGAAATCGCGGCGAAATTAATGCCCCGATTTCGCGCAACAAGTGCCAAAACTGTCATAGAGCCTGGCTCGAAATGAAGCGCTCGAAACAGCCACAGATGGAACGCGGCACGGACCAACTGTCAAACTTTCCTAACACCGATCTTCGCGTTAAGCAAATACCGCTGGAACTTCTCAGTCGAGCCAATTTCCAGGCTGAGAGCGTCTGCGTCGTTCCGAGGTTATCGAGTCGTATTTTACATCGCGGAAGTTAAAACGAGCCGAACGAACTCGATATCCCGTGACAACCGTGAGCCAAGTGTCAAGCTCGTTACGATAGGCACCCTAGACTCGTTCAGGGACCAACAACGGCTCGTTCTCGGGACGACCGTCGATTTCCAAATGACTGGAGGACACTCTGCAGAGAAAAGCCTAGTCGAGGGATCGATCGAGGAGCGATAAATCATAGAACTCGGATCGAAGTGGAGTTTGCCTTCGGATACAGTGGGGAGCAAGGCTGGCCGAGTAATTAATATCGGAGTCTGAAGCGACGGAAACGCGGTGGTCGAAAGGACGTCGTGGAAAGAAGGTCTTAAGTATTACGTCAAATGGCTCAAGTGAACTCAATTTCCACTTACATTCGGGGTGCCGGTTATCTCGGATAAACGGAATCAGGCCAGGCTCGTTGAATCGAGAGTCGCCGGTTAAATGAGACGGCCAGGCATAGAGCTGAAAGTTACCAAGGGAGCTGGGCAGGGTGGGAAATTAATGGCACTTCACAAAGGATACAATTCATGTGAGAACATTCTTCCTCGCGTCGTCCCTGAGAACCCCTCAACGGAATATCGCCTTTTCCTTGACT